CCCCTAGCAGCTAACATAGTGCCCGGCACATAACAAATGCTCTGTTAATGGATGAAAGGATGGATATCTGCAGCTCTGTACTTTTACTTATATCCTGCAGAGGATCTAAGGCAATGCAGCTAATAGAAATAGAATATGAACCACATGTGTGATTTAAAATTTTTTAGCAGCTACATAAAATAAAAAGAAACAAATGGAATTAACTTTACACTTATACTAACTTAGTATATAAAAATATTAACATTTCAACAAATAATACCAAGAACTATTAGTGAGTTATTTTGCATTTTAAAAAAAGCTATTCAGACTCTGGCAAATGTACAGCACGTCTCAATTTGGACTAGACACATTTCAAGTACTCAGGAGCCATATGTGGCTTGTGGCTACCGTGTTAGTGCAAGTGCGCATAGTGCCCTGCTGTTCCATGAGCTCCAGAGGGGAGGAAGCTGGAAACTTCCAGCAGCTGGGGAGGAAGGTGTTTCTTCGCTACCCCTGCTTCCTCTCTCTTCTGAAGGAAGCTGCGGGGATGTCCAGGCTAACAGATGGATGATCAAGTCCTTAGAATGATAGTGGTGATGACTGAGCTTCTGCCCTGTGCTGAGCACCTCATGTAATCTCATTTAATACTCACAGCAATCCTCTTTTACAGATTAGGAAATAGGTTCAGAAAACTACAGTGATGTGTTCAAATTTACGCACCTGCTAAGTGTTAGAGCTGGAATGTAAATCTGGTTAACAGTTGAAGCCAGTAATATAATTATGTGATAGTTTTAATTTTGCCACTTTAATGGTCCACGTGGCCTGGACAAATGAACAGAAACGCAAACCATAGAAAGAAGCCGACCTGACTCTTGGACTTGGACTCATAGCACAGCTTTGGTTGCTTCCATCCTGCGTCTCCCTCGTAGTTTCTCAGACACCTTAGATGCGACTTTAGTGTCAGACCGTGTTCAGGTCTCAGCTCCGCTAATTAATAACAGTGTAAGCTTCAGTAAAATCGGCTCATGCCCCATTTCTTCTGGAGAATGGGAACGCTAATACTAACCTCAGGGGCACTTGAGAAAATCCAGTAAGATGATGATGTCTGCAAAGCTTTGAACACAGTGTCCGATGGCTGGTAGCCACTCAGGACACACTAGATCCTGTACCCGTCTTCCCCCTCCAGGCTGTAAGGTGAGGCAAAGGGTCTCCTGACCTCCTAGCTCCACACCTTCTCTTAGCAATAGGGTAGCCAGAGAATGTGGGGCGGGTGTTAGCACTGGTGCTTGGGATCCTACCCAGTACTAACACATTTCTTTCTGTGGCACACTATTCTTTCAGTTGCCAAATCTGGATACCTCAGACAGGCTCTAACCACCCCACCACCACCCCAACACACACACACTCTTGGGATTCCATCCCACAGTGGCTCCTGTTGTGGCTACTTCTTCCCATTCCTTTCTGTTGCTGTCCAACAGTATGTCTTTACTCCAGCCCTGCTCATCTCTCACGCAGTGTTGCAGAGCCTTCTTCAACACTGGCTGCCACATAATCTTTCTAAACCAACCCGACCATGTCACGTACCTCCTTAAAATTTACTATTTTCAAATTTACCCCAGCATCCCTTTGCGGCCTTATCTCCCCCAACTCGCTTCCAGCTCACCTCCCACACACCGTGCGCTCTGGTCTCTTCCCGGCCAAGCCTTTCCGTACTCGCCATGATAGACTAGTCCCCTCCTCTCAGATCCTCCATTCCGCCTGCCGCGCCACTTCGTGACCTAGGGCGCCCCTGTAAATTGAGGCCCCTTACCCTGCCAACTATAGCCCCGTTGCCCCTCCCCTGTTCTCCCGGGGATTGTGAGCTAAGAGCCAGGGGTGAGAGGCTTGGGACGGGCGCGGCTCCCCCTCGCCTGGGCTGGCCCCCGCCCACCGCACAGGAAGCAGGGAAAGAGTGTGGCCCCCACCCCACCGAGGAATGTCTAGTCCCCAGGTAAGCGTCTTCAGGTCTTCGCATCGCTGGTGAGCCTGCCCCCAGTGCTGTCGGTGACCACGCCCCTGGGGGAAGGCGCTGTGCCAAAGTGCGGGTGCCCAGCCCCGGCTCCGT